TGTTCTCTAGAAACCTAAAGAATGGGGAAAGAGAGGAGATGATGTGTGTTTTCAAGTCTCCATTTTTAAAGTTACCTATGAATGCAGAGTCCTATAGCTCAGCATGCATCTTTAAATACTGAAAATATTAATAATAAAAACAATATTGAAAAGCTTAAACTGGAGCCAGGGGTCCCTTTGCATGGTGTTTTACTGATGAATAAGTATCAACCAGCATTTAGGGCATCCTCTGCAGCAGGAAGCATTTCCTCCAGTACTGAGCACAGTAGAGCTTCCGAAGTACAGTGCTGTTTGCCACACATCAACTAGGAATTGGAAACATCTACTTTTCTACTTTCTGGTCACTCTGTCTGTGGCAGGAAACATTACAGCTCAGTTTCTTCTTACAGCCCTTTTTATCTTTATGATCATGGTGGCTTATCATTTAGAAGTACCGGAAATTCACCATATTTATTTAGTACCATTGCTGCTAAGCCAACTGAAACTACAAATGAGTGTACCTTGACTTGGCTTGATTTTATGTCTCAGGTCCCCCCCAACCCCAGTGGCCCCCTTGTAAGCTTGAGACACTAGGACAAGTCCGAGAGTGGTACACACACCTCCAAAATCAACCAGTGATCACTTCCACTTATGGTTTAAAGTGAGCAGACCATTAAAGAGAGTTAAGGCCACAAAAGACTCCTTATAAAAGTTTTAGAGCACCTTAACCATCTAAGGAAGATGAATAAAAAGAGAATAAAAGTCTATCCCACCCACCAACAGTGATGGTCATTATATAATAGGATTGCAAATTTCTACATATATGGGCTATATTTATTTTTCAAGACACTGTTAAGGGATAAGCCCTTAGGTGGCATTACCCACATTTTCTAGAAAGGAAGCATAAACAGTTAGGCCACAAATTTTGGAGCTGGTCTACTGACTTACGATCCACTATTCTTTATATTATGCCCAATTATATACTCACATTTCTCTTCCAGAGTGACAGCCATGGTAACCATGCTGAGGCACGAGAGAATGGACTCTTTAGTTTGCCATCCTCTTGGGTAGATTGTGAAGATTAAATCAAGTCAATACAGGAAAAATATTTAAAAATAGTTCCTACCTGTTATGTGCTTGAGTATGTATTACATTTATATGTAGATTTGTATGTATACTAAATGCACATGTTTGTACATAGGTTAACATGTGTGCAAACTTACATAGATATTCTACTATACACACAACTTGGAATAGGGTAGCTAGGTAATCAGCAGCAAGTAAGTGCTTCAAGCTGGACAGCCTAATATTAAAAATAAACATTTTAGTCTTCAGTTGTATCATTCACAAGTTCTGTAGACTAGACAAAATTCTGTAAAGTTCTCCATTCTCCTTCTACAGAGGGGAAAAGGAGGAGCTATGCTCAGCTTCTCTGAGTCCTTCTAAGAGTTAGAAAGGTTCACTCGGGCCACCAACTGGGTCTCCACCTCAGTGATGCCTTTGAAGGAGGGAGGTAAGGTCCCCAGCTTTCTGGTGGGTTCATTAATCAGCCCTTAGGCAGGCTCCATTCTACATCACTTGAATGTCACCTTTGGAAAACGATGTCAAGTGTATGTTTGTGTGGTATGTGGTGTGTGTGTGTGTGTGTGTGTGTGTGTGTGTGTGTGTGTGTGTGTGTGCTGGAGGAATAGTCCCTCTCTTCCAGTCCCAGGCTGAGTAATTTACAGTGTGGTCCTCAGGTGAAGTGCTGGCGCCAGTTTCCTGGAGGGCAGAACTTCCAAGGGGACTTTCCTTATAAAACCGAGAAGGAAAACTTCCACAAGAGCTTAGGAAACTAAGAGACAGGCCATGGGAGTGAGGAGGAGATGGGGGCATGGAAAGCAGGAGATACCATAGAATCAGCTCTGTTAATTCCAGAACCTGAGCTTGAGCCACCTAGGAAGAAAGAGGGGAAAGCTAAAACCCCCAGACAGATGATGGCCTCCCAGCTGGGCACACTGGGCATGGTACTGTGCAAGATCCATAGGGCGGGCTCCAGCCAAGAAACCTACAGCTTATATTGGGCTGAGAGGAGAACCTGGCCTAGGAGACAGAGAAGCAGAAACGTTGCAAGAGCTGAACTCTCCCCCACCCCCTAGATGAGGTAGGTTGCTCAGTTCTCTCAGTCCTCGGAACAGAGCAGGCTAAGGTGGGGGGTGGGGTAGAACAGACGGACAGGGACGCAACGGGGCGGGATGAGACAGGACACTTCCCTGCCCTTTTTCTGGACGCTTCTAGTCCTTGCTTGTTCAACAATTTCCCATCAAAGGTCACATTCAAAGCGCCTATTGAGGTAGGAAAGCTGTCAGGGACAAGTTTAACGCGAACCAGAAGCCACAGTTCAGAGGTCCCGCACAGGATCCATCACGCAATTTGGACTCGATACCAGACCACAGCCACACACGTGTGTTTGCAACTAGTCCCTGGCTGCCCTACAGAGGCTGCCACACTCCAGGATCCAGGTGTATGAGGGCTGCAAAGTCAAGGCTGGTAGGAGTTGGGAACTTTCCCAGATAAGATTCGTTTCGGACTTAGCTCTCCGTGCTCTGCATTCCAGCAGAGCATCCCTTCCTGTCTCCCTCCCCCGTTGTGCAGGCCCGTGGGTGCCGGTTGCACCCGGTAAAGACACCCTGTAACATATGGCCTCCTCCATGTGCAAATGCCTGGAGAAGGAGACGAATGAAGAACTCTCAGACCCCAGATGTCGGATCATTTCCAGGCATTATTCCAGTGACTGGGACACAACAAATGCTGGGAAGTTACTGGTTGGCTTTGTGACCTGCTTTTCCGGCAGGGCACTCACTCAAAGCTCAGGCCACCTGCGAGGCCTGGAAGCTTGGGACACCTGGCATGGAATTTTGTGGAACCAGCTTGTCTTGAGGCCCTGTGACCTTATTTCCTCCGCAGCTGTGTGCAGGCATTAACACAGCTTTGGCCAATGACCTCGGCTAGGAGAGATTGTGAATTCTAGAAACTCTCTTCTGGGGTTTGAATACCGGAAAGGATTGCAGGGCATTCTGACAGCCCGCGTTAAAAGAAAACATTACTGAGTTTGCCTTGGCTAATGGTAAAACTAGCTTTGGGAATCCTTCCTCTACTACCTCCCGCCAAAACGGTCTGTACACGGAGCAAACAGCACAGCCCACCTGGCACTAAAGTGTCTGCCTACCTGGGTCGCCTAGGCAATAGCTCAGCCTTTGGGCGGCTTCCTGCTTGATAGATAATACGGGTAAGATAATGACCAAACCAAGGAAAATAAGGAAGGGACTGCCATGTCTGCATGTGTCCTTTTCCAAGAGCAGTGTTTGCTGAACTTTCCCAGACAACTCATTCTGAATCTCCACTGATAATAAAGCTGTTTAGGTTAAAGCGAGGGTTCCAGAAGGATCAGATAGAACAGGAAAGCAAATTCAAGTATTTTCCCCCTCTTAAAGTTGGTTCCCAAGATGTTCTGCACTTGCTTGTTTTTAGCAGATTTTTGTTCCGGTGATACAGTAGTTTCCCAAGCAGAGATAGTTTAATATATCAGACTGTGGGAGTAAGCATTCCCTAAGAACCATTTTCTGTTGACACCTAAATACCATCCTCTGTTCTTGCTGTTCCATTTTCTTCACAACTGAGCTTAGTCCTTTTCTAGAACTCTCTCTTTAGGTTCAATTGTTTGGTTCCCTGGGAAACAAAAGACAAAACCCCTCTTCAGTGCTGGAAGTAATTTAAAGACACCAGAACATGCTTCACTGGTTTTACAGATGACATAAATATGCTCACATCAGGCACACCGAATGATGTGAATGATGATACAGGGTAATACCAGCCAAAATGAGCAGAGGTGGAATTGGTATTTTTGGACCATTCTTTTTACCTACATCTTGAGCAGGTTTCTCTGTAAGTTCATCAAACCGCTGTGTGGGGAAACTGAAAGCAGGCCTCAGAGAAAAAAACCTTAGCCAAATAGTATTTGAATGAATCCAAGGAAGCCAGTCACCTTTTTTCACTGGCCACACGCCCTTAACAAATTTACTAACCCTGCCCTTACTCTTTACAGGCTCCCGACTCTAAATGCAACTTGCTATCTGGTGGTCTTAAAACACTGGACGCTTCAAAATGCTTTAAGGGAAGTTATTGGAAAGCCTCGGAACGGTGAGCTTGTGTGAAGTTTCCACTAGAAATCTATCCACAAATATCTCTCCAACATAAGGGGAAAATCAACAGACTATGAAAGTGTTTGTGTGGGTGATGGGGGTGAGGGTGGTGCCTCAGCCTCTGGAGAAATAAGTCTGTTCCTGGGACTCTGGGGTGTGAGGATGCTCCCCCAAAAGGCTCACCGGCCTTTTGGTTTTTAGTCTAGAAGCTCAGTGCACACCCCAGACACATACACAGATGTTCTCTCAGAGTTGTTGACAGTGGCTGCAGAAGATAGGGAGGTTTTTCATAAAGAACCAGTTGGGGCTGCCGTATTTCAGTCTCAAGATCACTCCCAGCAGAACAGCTGTTGAAACTGGGCCCTTCAGTACTCTGACGACCATCAAACCACGATCTTTACAACCCGATTACAAGTTCTCTGTGGAATCCTTAATGAATGGCAGAAAGCTGAAAGTTCTAGAATGTAGGCTACCCCGTGGTGGAAGCATCATTTCTAGACCCTAAAGTGGCTTTTTAAGAAAATCGGTTCTTCCAGATGCTGTCCAAAAATTGGTCACCTGATTGGTTGATTATCTTCCTTCTGAAAGGGATGCTGACAACATTATGATAGCAAGTCCTGTGTCTAGGTGATTTGTTCTTGATCAGTCAGCCTAACACTTTTCAACTAAAGAATTTTCCAGTGACAAGCAACACTCTGGCTTGTAATAAGTAAATGAAAATGGCAAGGGCTTGGGGTCCCTCACCTGCTACCTCTTCCCTTCTTTTCAAGGCATCAGTGAAGATGCATGAACTACCCAAAGTGTACTGGCCTACAAAAAATGTTAAAAACTTTCCAAATATTTGCTTTGAAGAAAATAGTTATTTATTGTCAAAGCATCCAACATACCTGGATAAACTATAAAGTTTAATAAATCTTTTTAGGGATAAAAGAAACACATAACTATTCAGACTCCATTTCACTGGCACAAAATTACACTTTGTATTAAAAGGAAATACATATTTACATAATCGATGACATTCTTCATTGAAGTCCATAATCATTTCGTGATACATGCACTTCCCCCTGGAAACTTCAATTGAATGGTGAACCCCTTTTTATTCATTTTGTTTATTTTTTGTAAGAACACAGCTGTCATCCGGAAATGCAGAAAGCATCTCACCTTCCTCCATTACTTTATATCTAAAATAAATTTTGTCCTTACATATAATTATTACATCTAAACCATAAGTGCTTAATAATTTAAGTAGAAACGTATGACAAATGCATCAATATGTTGCAATATATGACTTTTTTTTAAATGTACCTTTGTTTTTGGGAAAGTGAAAATCCGTGCATTCAAAAGAAAACCCCTCAAACAACCCACCCAATCCAAAATCCACCATCCTGTCCAGAGTGTGTGTGTGTGTGTGTGTGTGTGTGTGTGTGTGTGTGTGTGTCCCACGTTAAACATGTTAAACATTTGGATGATGAGGCTCCTGTCCAGGGGAGGGACCTGTATGGTGCACATGTTTGGTTGCAGTGTTTTGGGGGAATTAGGAAGTGGTGGACGTCCTCGCGTGTCTGTTCCTGCCGGTGACTTGACGGTGCGTGCACGCGCCTGGAAAGCCGGGGTCCTTTCCGCATCAGTTATGCGAGGTCATGTGCCTGGAAAGGTGGTGACGCTCCCTGAAGGACTCGTTGCAAATGGGGCACTTCAGCTTCTCCTCCCGTCGCCGCTTCACCAGGGGCTCCATGGCATACTCCTTTTTGTGATGAGACCGCATGTGGTACACCAGGTCGGAGGTCATGCGGAAGGAGGCGTTGCACTTGGCGCACCAGTTCTGCGCGGGCAGACAGAGCGAGGTGAAGGAGGGCGGCAGCAGCGTGAGCGCCGAGGGCAACTGCAGCTGCAGGGGCCCCGCGGCCGCCGCCGCCGCCGCGGCCGCCGCGGCCGAGCTCTTGGGCCAGAAGGCGGTGGCGTAGAGGAAGGGGCTCTGCTTGGGCAGGCCACCGCCGCCCCCGCTCGCCAGGGGCCCGCAGGCTCCGTTCAGGTCCGCGGCCCCCTGCAGCTTCACGGCCAGCGGATCGGCGGCGGCCGGGTAGAGTCTGGTGGGGCCCACGCCATCGCCCGGGTGGCACGGCTCCAGTGCGCCCAGCTTCTGGCCAAGGACCAGCGGGGACAGCTGCGAGAAGGAGCGCGCCGGCTGCGAGAAGGCGCTCTTGCGCTCGTCCGAGGCAGCCGCCTGACCGCCCCCCGCGCCCCCGGCGGTCCCCGCGGTCCC